TGCAGTGAATCGAATCCGCTATTAGTTTAAAAGTAGAGTAACGATTCTTGAAAGAATAAAGACCATAGCACAAACTAAAGCGGTAACACGTAAGTGAATTAACCAATCAGAATGTAGAATTAACAAGAACTGTTCTATTATATAATCGAAAATTATTTAGTGTTTAGTGTATCTTAAGAATGTTGCTCTAAAATATCAAAAACAGTTGAAATTTAAAAACTTTAAATTCCTTATAAATTTCTTTTTTTTCCTAATCAATGACAAAAAATTTGGATTTTGAATACACTCTGAAGCCTACTGCGAAATCAAAACAATAAATAATTTAGCCTATGCCGCTATCAGACTAGAGATTTAGATTAGATTGAAATTTAATCAATCCGAACAAAGTTCACTAAACTTGAAATTTGTTTTTTGGTTGGTTAAATTCCAATCTAATCTCAATCTCTAATCTGATATTCACTTAAAACTCTTATTAGATTAGAGATTGAGATGAAATTTGACCAATTAGAAAAACTAATCTCAAGTTTAGTAAACTTTATTCGAATTGGTCAAATTCCAATCTAAATTTCAATCTTTAATGTGATATGGGTATATAATATGTAAATATTTGCATATTGCACATATTTTACTGCAGTTTTAGATAAATAACTCTTAAAAGGATAAGTGGATTTTTATCCAAATGAATTTTTATACAAATATTCATTACAATTTTATTAGAATGTGTAAAATATTTGATTTAATTCGTAATGCTATTTCCTCATTAAATTATCAAATAAATATTATAAAATATAATTTTATATAAAAAGCAACAAAACAAGTTAAATAACTTCAAACTTCATAAGAGAGAGAACTGAAAAAAAAAATTTTATGCAGATATCCAAACGTAATAATAATAGAGCAATTTATGAAATTTTTATATTTTTGTAATGCTCTGAGATATGATACAGACATCCTCAAGTGTTTTATGTGCCATTTAACAATTTTTATTAAAAATTTTATAATAATGAAATAAATTAATAATAAGTGAAAAACACTTAATTTTTCTTTTATAATCTTTTATATTTATACACATATGCGTAATCTATTACAAATTTCAATAAATTAAAAAAAAATGGTATTTCATATCATATCATTCAAAAATTCCAAAAATAAAAAAAATTTACTATAAATTTTTCAGTAGAATAAATTGCCATCTAATAAAAAAATTATTTTGATAAAAATTGATGTATTAATATCACAAAATAAAAAATAATTTATATTATAAGAGCCTTATTTTTTTGTTTTAACATAACATATTTTCATTCGATTATACAATGAAAAAGATTTTAGTAAAATATTGTTTTATAATATATATCAAATTTTTGTTAATTTTTTTAAACTTTTTGACACTTTTTATGAGCGCCCATTTGCTTAATCACTTGTAACAGACCTGACCCTGACATTATTTGTATGCCATGTAGATACACATATATTTCTTATAATGTGTTCATATGGACTATGTTCCGAAATATACTAACACAACATTGAAAATCATATATTATAGTTCATATCATATACGTATACGTACGTAGATATTCAATATTATCAGCATGTTCCCTAATAAAATATCGTGTATATATATATATATATATATATATATATATATATTATATTAATTAAG